TACCGTCTTTCTTTCCATTCTAGACTGACGGATTTCTATGTGTTCTTCAGTAAAACTGTTGAGTTGATAACTTGCTCTTTTTTACTATTTTACATTCCTTTGAACATAACAAGTCACAATTCTATCTCGCTTTTTCCTTTTTTAACGAGCTAAATTTAATGAGTTTCTTTTTCTTTTAACAAATTGGTAAGCATATTGTCTGTTAAAAACAGCTTGGAGAAACAACTATATTATCAACTAAAGTTTTCCTTTTAAAATAATTAGTAATTTTTTTAAAATAATAATATTACCTCTCTCTCTCTTTATACACAATTCATATCATTCGTATGACAAATTTGACAATGTGTTTCATGAGAGTTTTCTTATTAATGTTGAATGAATTTAATATAAAACTCTATATCAGGAATATATGAACATCACACCCTATTTTTTTCAAGATAAATAGCAATATGTGTAACTTCCGCTCAAAATATTGTACGTGATGTATGAGTAAAAACATTTTAAAATAACTACTGAGTTATATTTATTTGAAGTCATGACCAGTTTTCAGTAAATATCTGATTTCTGAAAAGGAAACAGACTTTTATGTTGGTAGACGATTCATCAATATCATCAAAAAACAAGTACCAGATATTTGCTTTCTAGAATAAATTTCTAAACTATTATGGGTATGGGTGAGGTTTAGTAAAGAGAATAGCGACACTCACTCATCTTATTTGCTTACGGAATATTTCTTTTTTAGTATAATACTAATAAAATGGGCGTTTGCCGACAGATTCGTTTGATCTTATGGAAAAATTTTACTATTCGACGTCGACGATGGGTTTGTTATAAGAAATTTATTCTAAAACCAATTTGTATTGTTTTATTTAGCCTCGAGTGATATTTGAATTAATTTGGCCATTATTTTTATTTTTTATTCTTATGTGGGTTCGAACAAGAAATTTAACATTTTATTATGATGCTTGTAAGATTTGTTTTCTTTAAAAGCTTATCTTAATAAATTTATTTAAGGTTATAATGATCCAAAATATCTTGGAGCAACTGGATTTTTACCTGCATTACAAAGTTATATTTGTCAATGGAATAATACATGTTATAATCAATCAAAAACAACTGATGAATTTCATGGAGACGCATCGTTTTGGAACCAATTAACAGATTTAAGTGAAAGTCTTTCGATTATTTTTAATGATGATAAAACGGTTAATTTATTTGATAAACTTTTTACACAAATTAATTCATTACAACGTTATTCGACTATTTGGAATGGTAAGTATTTTAATATTTGAATAATGTCAAATATTGATTTACGTACTTTGAAAATATAATATAAGGTACTATTTTGGCAAATAAAAGCACGAATGATTTTAATCAATCTATTCCAACAACAATAATCAATACACTTTTTCAAAACCCTGTTGGTTTATCTAATCTTCATCAATCATGGTTTATGAATCATACCAAAAGATCTGAGTCGAATTTAAATATTATAATACAAATATCTTATTCACGTTCACAAAAAAACTTTTCCTTTGTAAATTAAACAATTCAATTTATATGTAGAGATTTAAATTATGCTTTTTTTAAATTTCATCTAGTCATATCAATCAGAAACAAATATAAAACAATCATTTTGTAATAAAACAGAATTTAATAAAACTTTTCTGATTAATTCACCCGATGCAATTGTACCAAAAAATTTTTTATGTAATAATTTATCAGCAACTGATCTGAAATTATTTCTGATCAGTGTACAAAATCAGTTGGATGATATACTTTTGGTAAAATTATAAAGATTTTCTTATGAAGTTATTTCATTTTATTCAATAATTCTAGACTAATATGGCACCAGATATTGTGAAACTTACTATGAATGGAATGCAAGTATGTAATCTTGATTTTTATTACACTATCATAAAATATTATTGATGTGTTTAGGCTGCTCGAACTCTGGAACAAATTCATTCTCGTTTAAACATACTTAATGTTAGCTTTTCATTCAATGAAACCAATAGTAGTATTAGGTAATACTTTGGCAGCATACTTATTTGTATTTTATATTACTAATAGCATGCATCAGATTTAAGATTCAACAAATTCGAGTATAGTACTTATAAAAGAGTCGTTTTCTAATTTGAATTTTGCGCATAAAATATACGGCAAGTCATTTCTTGTATGTTTATGATCCATTATCGATTATTATAATAAAATACTCTAATTATAAGTCGAATTATGTTTAAATAAGTCTCTGATAAAAGCTGAAATTACACAGAAATAACTGTGGGTCCCATGCGGGGTAATCCGCAGACAAAGGATAGAACACACCGTTTATGCAGATTTATTTTCAGAATATAATAATCACTGAAAACCTTTTTCTATTTAAATTATAGTTTAACATCATTATGTGGTGGTCGTAATGATTTATCACAGTTTTTTACTATCAATCAATCTTCAAATAATCAAAGCAACCAAAGTGAAACTACTCAAAATAAACAAACAGAAACTACTCAAACACGTTCTACAGCTGATGATACTTTAACTATGTTTAATTATAACAGGTTAGCAGAAAATTTATTATCTTATGATGAATCTGAAATATGTCAAGAATCATATATAACTGGTTCTGGTAAAATTATGCAATTTTCAACAGTAAATCGTACATGTCGCTGTGCTTTGTTTGATCAAGTATTCAATTCAAATACTATTCTACGACAATTTGCAACACTATTACGTCCTATTCTATATGGAAAAATCTATTATCATCCATCAAATATTCATTATGATAATATAATTAAAAATATTAATCAAACATTTGAATCATTAGATGAACTTGTTCGATTACTTCGTCAAATTGAATCTACAAGTCAAACAATAAATGATATAATACCAGTATTATGTAATTCATTTTCGAATTCATCATTAATTTGTCAACAATTTACAACATATCAAACATCAATGAATTTATTTATAGTTTTAACTGAATTTCTTGCTTGTACAGAACGTAATCGTTTTATTGCAATGGATAGTGAATTAGATATGGTCTATGCAGGACAAAATGACTCTGTAACAAATAGTTTTCTTGCCGCAATTGAATTTATGGATACTATAGGAGATAATGATAGTTTACCTACACATATTCGATTTAAAATAAGAATGGCACTTGATTATGTTGATAATACATTTCAAACAGCAGACAAGTAAATAATAGAAATAAATTTCATTCTTTTTTCTTCTAATAATTTATATAGATATTTTTCATACGCACCTCGTGTTAGTGCACCAATATCAACAAAATATCATTCATATTTATTTATTTATTTACAAAATGCTCTTGAACGTGCTATTATATATGCACAAACGGGAAGAAATATTTCCTATGGTATACAAACACAACAAATGCCGTATCCATGTTGGATTAATGATAAGTATGTTGTTCATTTTTTTCTCGTCTTTAGTAAATCGAAATATGAATGATTGATTTTAGATTTTCTAATGCCATTAGTCGAATGTTACCATTATTTATGGTATTAAGTTGGATATTTACAGTTTCAATGAATGTGAAAGATATTGTTCATGAAAAAGAAAAGTAAATAAATAAATATAAGAAAGACATGTTTACTTTCTTTTTTCTTCAAGACGATTAAAAGAAATAATGAGAATAATGGGTTTGAATGATTCTGTTCATTGGTTTACTTGGTTTATTTTATGTACAGCTACTATGTTGTTAATAGCATTTTTTCTTATATTACTTTTAAAAGTAAAATATGTCTTAAATAATTATAATAATATATTTCTCTGTTGTAGTTTGGAAAAATCACACAATTTTCTAGTTTTTCTGTATTACTCGTATTCTTCATAAGTTATACAGTCGCTACTATTACTCAATGTTTTCTTATCAGTGTATTATTTAATCGAGCTAATTTAGCTGCTTGTGGTATGTACTTACAAATGAAATGTATACATATTACAATTCAAAAATAAATATTCTAGGAGCTGGAATTATATATTTTGTTCTCTATTTACCATATACTATATTAATTAGTTATGATACTCAAGTAAAAATATGGCAAAAAGCAGTTGCTGTAAAAAATTTCATATTTTTTTTTTAAATAATTCAAACTTTTTCAATATGTTTTAGTGTCTTTCATCAACAGTTGCTTTTGGAGTTGGTTGTGATTATATTGCTCGTTTTGAAGGTATGGTTGAAGGTATTCAATGGTCGAATATAAATCGAGGTGTAAAACCTAATGATAATTTTACATTTCTTTATTGTATTATTATGATGTTAATCGATTCGGTGATTTATATGTTATTAACTATTTATATTGAAAATGTTTTTCCCGGTAAGAAAATAAATGAATTTTATTTTTTTAAATTGAATATATATTAAGGTGAATATGGTATTCCACAAGTATGGTATTATCCATTTACAAAAACATATTGGTTTGGTTATAATGCAGAAAATATCCGTCAACGTACGGAACAGATGAAATGTGTAATAGATCAAAATCAAAATGGTTAATTTAATTTTAATTTAAATAAAATTTTCTTATGTAAGGATATTTTAGGTGAAAATGATATAGGAGAACTTGGTATTAGTATTGAAAATGTATCGAAATATTTTGGAAATAAAATGGCATTGAAAAATTTATCTGTTAAATTTTATCGTAATATGATAACAGCATTTCTTGGACGAAATGGTGCTGGAAAAAGTACAACATGGTCCATATTAACTGGTCTAATACCACCCACAAGTGGTACAATATATATTGATGGTTATGATATATTAACAGATATAAAAATTGTTCGAAAACGTCTTGGTTTTGCGCCTCAATATAATATTTTATTCGATTTATTAACAGTTAAAGAACATTTAGAATTTTTTTCTGCGTAAGATAATTGAATATTATTTGGTAAACATTAATTTCTTGTTTTTCATTAGATTAAAAGATGCACCAAAAGAATCAATTGAAACAGAAATACATAAAATGTTAAATGATTTAGCATTAGAAAAAAAAGCAGATAATTATTCCACAGAATTATCTGGTGGAATGAAAAGAAAACTTTCAATTGCTATTGCTTTTGTTGGAAATTCAACAACAGTTATTTTAGATGAACCAACAGCAGGTATATACAATAGCGTTTTAGTGTAGTGCGTAAGAGCTTTTGAGAGATGTGCCAACTAGTAAATTTGAATGCCGAATTTATAGTCACGATTTTTCCGTAAGGGTGGTTTGTTGAGGGTGATACATTAAACTGTCACCCACACTCATTCGCAAGATAAAATAAGATTTAATTTGTTTTTCTGTTCTAAATAGGCGTTGATCCATTTGCTCGACGAGCCATATGGGATCTTGTATTAAAATATAAACCAGGACGAACCATTGTATTATCAACACATCATCTTGATGAAGCTGATTTATTAAGTGATCGTTTGGCCATAATATCTTCTGGTGAATTACAATGTGTTGGTACACCAATGTATTTAAAACGAAAATATGGTGAAGGTTACAATTTAATTATTGAATTAGCATCATCATCAGATGATAGTGTTCTTAGACCAATTATAAATAAAAATTCTTCGATTAATTCATTACGTTTTTTAAAATTAACTGATTTTCTTCGTCAGTTTATAGTTGATATTTGTGTAAAAGAACAACATGGTGATCAAATAACTTATATTTTAATCGATGATGCTAAACATACAAAATATTTTCCAAAAATGCTTGCTGAACTTGATGCGAATAAAAAGAAATATCAAATAAAAAGTTATGGTTTATCAAATAGTAGTCTTGAACAAGTATTTCTTCGTGTTGCTAATGAAATTAAACGACCAGAAGATTATGAACGTTTATCATGGTGGAAAAAATTTCAAAATCGTTTTAAGAAATCAGACAAAAAAGTTGAAGAACAAACACAAAAATTAGATGATACTAGTAATGATAATGATAATGATGATGATGATCAATTAGAAACCAATACAGGATTAAGTAGTTAGTATTATGATGCAAATATTTTTCATCAAAATTATTATTATTTTCTATTATTTTAGATGAATGGAGTCCTTATACTGTTGAACGATATACAGGTATACATCGTACATTTATACAAATAAAAGGTTTACTTATTAAACGTTTTCATCGAACTAAACGTAATATAAAAGGATTAATAGCTGAAATACTCCTTCCAATTATTTTCATATTACTTGCTATGCTTGTTACAACATTATCACCAAATACTGATACACCACCAATGCTTATTCTTCATCCGTGGTATTGGAGTAATCCTAATTATATATTTCAATCATTATCGAATAATAATGCTTCGAATATATCGCAAACAATTCAACAAACATTTACAAAACCACCATCATTAGGTACACGTTGTATCCCGTCAACAATGCTTAATCAAAAATTATATCCATGTTCAAAAACAAATACAACTCATGTTAATGTTACAACAAGTTATGATATAATGAATGCATTAAATCAAGTTAATTATAATGAAACATGTATATCACCAGAATGTGATTGTTGGCAAAAAATGCAAACATGTCCAATAGGTAGTGGTGGCCCTTCAGCTAATTATGATATAATTGAAACAAAAGATATTTTATATGATTTACAAGAATTTAATATAAGTGATTGGATAGTAAAAACAGAATATAATCTAGAATATTTAATGAAACGTTTTGGTGGGTTTGAATTTTTATTACGATATATGCCGAATGATGTACAACTTGTTAATGAAAGATTAATTAATCAAATAATTAATATAACAAATCCAAAAAATCAATCATCATTATCAACAATTGATGCAACAAAAATTGCTCCACTCTTTCGAATTTTTCCACCACAAGCTTCAGTAAATATATTTCTAAATTTCATTTAGGAGGATATGAATGTACAAATTTATTTTGATTTTAGATTTGGTATAATAATAAAGGATGGCCAGCAAGTGTAGCATTTCTAAATGTATTTAATAATGCATTGTTACGAGGTCTTCTCTTACAAAATAATTCCACAATGTCAGTTGATAATTATGGTATAACAGCAATAAATCATCCATTACCACAAAGTCAAATTGAAATCGATAGTGATGCTTTACAAAGTCTTGCTGCAATTCAACTTTTTACAGCAATATGTGTTATATTTGCATTAGCATTTATTCCGGCAAGTTTTCTTGTTTTTCTTATTGATGAACGTATCACAACATCAAAACATTTACAATTTGTTAGTGGTGTTAAAGGTAAGACTATAAATCTTATCTTTTTGATATTATTTTCGTTTATTATAGGTATAACTTATTGGTGGGGAAATTTTCTTTGGGATTTAACAAACTATTGTATATCAATAGCATTTTGTGTAATTATATTTCTTGCATTTGATATTCAATCATATGTTTCTGGAAGTAATCTTTTATGTCTAGTATTATTATTATTTCTATATGGTTTTGCTATAATACCATTAATGTATCCAATAAATTATTTTTTTCAAACACCATCAACTGGTTTTGTACTTATATCATGTATTAATATATTTATTGGTATAATAACAACTATATCAACATTTACTTTGGATAGTTTTGATGATGAACCTGATCTTGTACGAGTTAATAATATATTAAAAAAATTATTTCTTATTTTTCCACATTATTGTCTTGGACGAGGTTTATTCGATATGAGTATAACATATCAAACTAATGCTATCAGTACTAAATATAGTAGGTTTTGATTTCGATTTAATTTTAAATAAAGTATTCTTTTTTGTGTATTTTAAGTTATTGGTTATGTTTCTACATCACCATTTCAAATGAATATTGTTGGACAAAATCTATTAGCATTATTTTTACAAGGGATTATCTTTTTTATATTTACTATCCTCGTTCAATATCGATTTTTTATACCTGATCGGTAAATTAAACAAAAAGAAAATTTTAACTAATATATCTATATGTTCGTTTATTATAGTGGTTGCATTCATATGTCAACAAATATTAAATCTTCAAATGAAGATAATGATGTTGCTACTGAACGAGAAAGAATCTATAATGATTCTAATAATACAAGTAATGATATTCTACGAATGGTTGATTTAGTGAAAGTAAAAAGAAACAAATTAGTTAGAATATATATACTTGAATATTTCTATAGATATATGGATGGTTATTTGGTAAACAATTTACAGCTGTTAAACAAACATGTGTAGGTATAAAACAAGGTGAATGTTTTGGTTTATTAGGTATAAATGGTTCAGGCAAATCAACAACTTTTAAAATGCTTACTGGAGAAATATCTATGACAGATGGTAATGCATATATTAATAATTATAGTGTTATTAAACAATTAGATAAAGTTCGAGAAAATATCGGGTATATAAATTTAATAATTTATTCATTAAAAATTTTGTTTTTTTTCTTATCGTAGTTATTGTCCACAGTTTGATGCATTGGATTCGTTATTAACAGCACGTGAACATCTTTATTTTTATGCTCGTTTACGTGGAATTAAAGAAAAAAATATTTCATTTGTAAAATTTTTATTTATCTTTCTTTTTCTTTTAAATAAAATATTATTTCTAATAGATTGCTGATTGTTTATTAAAACGACTTGGTCTTACACTATGGGCTGATCGACCAGTAAAACATTATTCAGGTGGAAATAAACGAAAATTATCAACAGCTATTTCAATTATTGGAAATCCATCCATCATATTTATGGATGTAAGTATTATAATAAAAATTTGTTAGTGCAACTCGTATTTGACCTGCTCTTAAGCTTTAACCCAGATTCATAAAGTTTGCAGGAAGAGGATGAGTTCAACAAAACAAATTATTTGAGTGATTCTATAGAATAAAGATTTCATTGAAGTATGAATGAGAAAATTTTGTCACGAAGTCAAATATTTTCGTAAAAATAAATTTGATTATATTTAGGAACCAACAACAGGAATGGATGTACGTGCTAAACGATTTCTATGGAATTGTATATTAACATTAACTCGTCAAGATCAAAAATCTGTTATTATAACATCCCACTCAATGGAAGAATGTGAAACATTATGCAATCGTAATAAATATTTTGAAAAAAAGAACTTTTTTTTCTATCTATTTCTTTTATTAAGGACTCGTTATTATGGTTAGTGGAGAATTTAAATGTCTTGGTAGTGTACAACATTTAAAAGAAAAGTATAGGAAAATTCATGTTTAACAAAAAAATAGCGTTCTTTCTATAGATTTGGTGATGGTTATACAATACTTGTTCGAACAAATATTGATGTAAAAAGAAAAGATATTATTGATTATATTCAACAATATCTTCCAGAAGCTATTGTTAAAGAAGTACATAATAAAATGATACATTTTCGTGTATCAACAAATGTTCCGTTATATAAAATGTTTAGTATATTAGAAAAAGCACGAGAAGAATTATTAAATCTTATAGAAGATTACACTATTTCACAAGTGACACTTGATGATGTATTTGTAAATTTTGCTAAAATGCAACAAGATGATCAAATAATAGAACAAATATCTAATCAAGAAAATCATTATGAATTAATGCATCGAACTAATCGTATTGGTAAGTTAATCAAAATATATATATTTACTATTAATAATTATCTTTTCATATAGAACCAACGTGAATTTCGAATATGATGATTTGTATACAAGAATATATTTTTTCTGACATAAAATGTCTAAATTTTTTATTGTGAATCCGCTTAAAAGTAGTCATTCTTTCAGTAATATTTTCTTGTCTCTATATATTTTTGTTTTTTGAATGTATGTGATTATATTTAAATATACAATCTTTAAGACGACAAAAAACAAACGCAAATAAATAGTTTCTATTTTTATTTTTATTTTGTTTGACATTTATAAATAATAATGAGCGAGTTGCATTCGTTTAATTGATTAACAAAATGTTAGATTTGTTTTTTTTCGAGTTGTTTTCGTGTTAGATCTCGTACAGAACGTTTTCGGCCACTGAGTGGATTCATACAACAGAATCGACCTAATAGAAATTAGAATATTTAAAAAAAATCAATATTTATTATTTAACATTATATCTTACGTTGTTTGGTTGATTCGACTGGTACTTGTAATTCATTGTCAGAGAATACTACATCTTCTAGAAAATTCCAAATATGAAATCAATAGATTTTATTATTTATTCTACCTGGAACTGCAAAATTTTCAAATGCCAATCGTCCCATAACCGCACGTCGTTTATCGTCTTGTTCATACTATAAATATATTAGACAAAAAAAATCGTTTATATGTAGATGTAATAGTTCTTTTTTGTTTTCTTCCGTCGACCCCTTTTAACCTTGTGCATATAACAATAGTAACATCTTAGACATACGAGTCTGTCTGGAAGTTCAAGAGATCTCTCATCAATGATCAACTTATAAGACAAGGTCGATATCTATCTTATAACAGAAACGATGATAAAAACTGTTTTATGTAGATCAGATTTTAATGATAAGCAAATCGTTAATTGATACAAATGAAATAAGAACGTTAGATTTACCTGATCAAAATCGTCTTGCATAAGTCGAAATGAATGAACAATAATAAATTGATTGATAAGAAGAATAAAGAAAAATAGATAGATAGATGAATTAATGGTTTTTTTTTCAATACCAAACATGATGATGATGAGAAAGTATATATTATTAAATGATGATATAAATGTTATTTTTATATATCTATGATGGAATAAAAAAATTTTCAAATGATCTTATATATATATGTAGGATGTACTCAGATAAAATAGTGATGATCAAGAGAATCTTAAAAATGATCTGTTGTAGAAAAAGCGGAAAGATGAAAGAACGTGATAAGAGATAAATCTTTTTATCGATTGGAAAAAAAGAGAGAAAAAAGAATGAAGATAGAAAAAAAAATAAATAGAAGAAATTAGATGAAGGACGAAATAGATAAACGGAACGATACATTAATTTTATCCTTTTCTTGTCTTCTATATTAGAAAAAGTTAAATGAATAAATTTTCTTAGTTAACAAAATAATAATATATTCATTACCTTGAGTATTCTTCTAATAATGTAAAAGAAAAACATAAAGTATCTATCTGTCAGACATTTTATACTACTTACCAATATGAAATAGCGTTTAATACAAATCTGGTATATATATATTTCTTTTTCTCTTCGATCATTATCTTACATATCATTCTTTTGTTCCAATAACGGCTAATCGGAAGAAGAACGATATGTAGGCGGAATGAATAATACAAGTGAAGTATATCGAATTAATGTGTTGAGTAAAATCTGTCGGCATGTTCGCATAATAGATAAATCGGATGTAATTTTATGAAGAGAGAATTATAATTTAATTAAATATATTTTAAAAAAAGAAAAACTTATGTCTATATTATCAACTAATTAAAACAGCAACTTCACATAAAGATAGATTGTCTTTTTCATCAATCAATGTCAAGGATTAACGTTACGTCAGTGAAATCAAAAACGTATAGCATCGCCTGATTTCTGTTTTACTATTTAAACCAACTATGATTAACATTGAACAGATTGTTTAAAAATAGATTTTCAAAGGAGTGTTCATATACGTATATACTTTTATTACCAGAGCTTTGTTTTTTGTAGATTATCATCAGCAAATGAATAAATATTTGGAAAATAACAACTTTTGTTTTAACGATTATTTTCCGTATTTGACATTCTTAGCTACAAGAAGAGATCAGCTGTCAAGATATTATCTAATTTTAAACCTACATTCTTAACATTCGTGTTAATTTTTTATCCTTTGAAAGAATATTAACTATTTATAATAAGATTATTTTTGCGAAGCATTTATCCATATTGATCTTTAGACGATTATAACAATCCGCCCATTCATTTACATATTCTAGTTAATTTCTACATCAGTATGATTGTATTAATTAATAGTTGTACTGATATTTTAATACAAGAATTAGAATTACATCAATCAAGGTCTACTATAAACACCACTTTTTCTATGCAAATCGAACTTGAGTTGATATATTTACAAAATCGTTACATGCTTCGTGATTATAGATGATATTATTATGCTGATGTAAAAATATCCGAATCTTGTTAATGGCAAGATTACTGTGAACTTTGAAAAACGATCTTATTGATTAAAATTGAAATTATTTTTGATATTATCATTATCTATTGCAGTGCATAGTAGAAATACTTACGCATAGTTAAACAACTGATTTTTCTGTACGCATTGAACTAATTCGGAAAGGAAAGTATAATGCCATTGGAAATTTTCTTACTTTTCCTTGTTTTCGTAATAGAAAACAGAAAGGGCATACATATCTTATCATTTACTCATCTAGAGAAATCATCAAAATATGTCAATAGGGGATTTATGTATCTAATATATTGAGCGTGTCTATTAAATAAAATCAATCAATATTTTATTATTATAACATGCGACGATATATTCACGAAAATATTTTTTAAATCTTTTGATAAATCCTATCTAATCATAATTATATAAATCAAATCATCAATAGAAACGTTATTTTATTGTTTCTAAAAAACTATTTTATTTTAAAATTCATAATGAAAAATAAAAGGAAAATATTAGTTGTATTATAATTAGTTTACTATAAAAAAAGATCGTTAAAATTCAGAAAAATATGTTAGATAAATGAGCTGTATTATTAATCACAGATCAATATAGAAAAAAAAGAGAAGTTGCATTGTAGTTATTATTATTAAACATCGGACATTTTTTGGAATACAACACGTTCACTTGGCTTAAATGGTGATAAACCTCGTGAAGGAGATCCAGCAGATTGAGAAGCATCACCACGATTACACTAAATGAATATACTTTTTTTTATCTAACAGTCATTATATTTTCTAATACATACATTTACACAAGAAGATTTAACGTTTTGTTGAGCTGATGCATGTTCTCCTTGTTCAAGTTCTTGTGCTAAACCACATGTACAATTTTTACTAGCTTTTTTAACATCGGATGATGTTGTACCACTATCATTATCTAAATAAGAATGTTGTTTTATATATAGATACACATCCGTTTTGTATTAATAACACTTTTTATTCAAACCGAAATTTAAGTAATATAATAAAACATTATCATCATCGTCATCTATATACAGTACTATTCAAAAAAACTTGCACAAAATTTTGTTTTTTGTATAATGATTTTCTTACCCTTAGAAAGTAATTACAAATTTGAAATTTCAGGGATATATGTTCGTTAGATATACTCCACATTGGCTATATAAAAGTGTGATTTCTCTTCTTTTTGATATATTAACATTTACTCATCACATAATCTACTGATTTAAAAAACTGTCATATATTGATACTACATTATTGTGACAGAGGCATGGGGTGCGCTCGTGCTATTCATCATGAAATAAAGATATCATCAAGGGATATCTATTACAATATAAATAAATTGAAACAAACAAATTCATTTGAACAGTGAAGAGGAAATGATCGACTATGTGCCACATGGAAATAGAAAAAATCTATATTGCTCAGTATATTCAATGTAACAATTAAATAATCCTCAATGAAATCAAAGAAAAATTATCGACAATGAATAGTTCATATTAAGCTCATACACTAAAAAATTATCTTCTTTCTGTTACTAGGCAAAAATTTCGTCAAAATTGGTGTTTACAACAAGATAATGATCGCAATCATACTCACAATATTTTCAAACAATTGATCAACAACAAAATATTAGAATTATTGGAGTGTTCATCTGATACTCGAAACGCTAATGCTATCGAGAACTTACGGTCGATCGTAAAACGCAAAGTTGAAGCAAGAAAATCAGAAAATATTGATAAACTCGAGCTTTTGTTATGTGAAGAATTTAAAAATGTTAACGATAATATTGTAGTAAAAATTGTGATGACGATGAAAAAACGATGTTTGTCTCTTATTAAATCTAAAGACGAACGAATAAAATATTGAAGTATAGTGTTTAATAGTACTCAATATAGGCTATCAATCAGTAATAGAAACTACTTGATAGTGACTTATATATGGGAATATATTTACATAACAAGATGTGCAAGTTTTTTTGAATAGTACTGTATATATTGGCGACGAGAGTGATTTGTAAATCAATAAATCCTTGATTTAATCTTCGATGTCCGAAGAAAAGAAAAAATCTAGGAAATATTATTTTCTGTCATAATTACGTAATAAGTACTTGAGTTCTACATCATGGAAAATGTCTGGAAAACTAAGTTCATAGTTTACTCTATAAAATGTATTTAATGAATATGAAAAGTACTATGACAAACTAATTAAATTGAATTAAATTAATTTTAGGTTCTTATTTTATAATTATTCTTTGTAAATTGTAGAGAATGTCACGCGTTATGTTTTTTTATAAAATAGAAGAGAAATCTTAAGAATACTGAGGAGTTCATTCTTTCTGGAACATTCGATATAAAACTTATTATCATTTTATAATAAAATACATACTTTTAGCATCAGGTTTTTTTCGATCATTTTCATCAAGTAAATTATTTGTATCAATGAAATTTTCATCATCATCATCATTATCATCACCATCATCATTTTCAACAGTCCATGTTTTTCTTCCTCGACCACTTGTTGATAGTTGTCTCAGAAAAGATACACCTGTTCGTTTCAATGGTACAGAATAACCGATTTCAAAGTTTGGTTTTTGACATAACCATAATAAACCAAGTTTTTTAGCATCATCACTTTTATTTTCAATTAAAAATGATGAATTCGAATCTAATGGATTACAATTACTAAATCCACACATTTTAAAATTATTCATAACTTGTGATTGATTAGTTTGTTCAATATGTGTTATAAGATAACCATTTGGACGAAGTAAACGAAAAAACTCGTTAAGTAAATCAATATTTACTGGTGTATCTTTCTCATTAATTAGATCAAATAAGATAATATCGAAGGACGAGATTTTACGTTGAGCTAAATATTAATTCATTGTTTTTAATTTTTTAAATAATTCAATCGAACTTACATTCTAATAACTTTTCGATATTTTCGAATTCAATTTGTGCTTGTTCTGATTTTTCTTGTATTAATTGTTGAAAAGCAGGTAATTTACTCGAATCATTATCAGCTGTCCAAATAATCAGAATATTTTTAGCATTAGCAAAAATATCGTCCATTATAATTATTTTATTTACAAAATTATCTAAAAATATCAAGTTAGGACATATTTCGATGAGTTACATTCAAATTTACGAAAATCTATTGAGTTAAAATATCTTAATTTATCAAAAAGTTCTTGTCTTTTTCCTAACATACATTTACTTATATACGATGAAATTGATATTCAAGCTTAAACAGATGTTTCTTATTCACATGATTTATATGTCTTATTTACTTGTCGCTTAAAATTCGCTCTAAACCTTCAAATTGTATAGATTTAGCTCACCTTTTCATCAGTACTATATACGTTATTTGCAATAATATTCCTACTTTTTACTTATCTACGAATAGTATGTACTAAAGTCACGTTAATCTTTTTCTCTCTACCATAATTATACATTTAGCGATGTAATGGGCTATAAATTCGACTAGTAATCTTCATATGATTTTATAGCATAGATTGATTAGTAGCTATTATAGAAATGTAAACTTTCTATTAGAAACAGCGTAAATAAAGCCAAAATATCAGATTACTATTCTACAGTTTTTCAAATTTTAATAGAAATTAGGCATCCCTTTAAGCAATAAATGTCTCTCTTTTATATTGGAATTCCACCACATTGATTCAATATATCGTTTTGTAATACTCAAGTACATATATTCAAGGTATTGCAAAAAAAAGTGCATCAGACTATAAATCTCAATTAGTCTACAAAATATGACGTCAAATCCAATCGAAATCATATTAATATAAATCAAATTTTTGAATTTTTATGTGAAACAAGTAAGATTTTCTCCTTTTCTTTATTTCAAACAGAAAAGAACGCATAAATTGAGTCCATATTAAAGAAGATGAAACACGCACACACATACACACGCGTACAGTACGAAAGATGATGAAAGCAAACAAAAAAAATGTGTGCATATTTGTTGAATCAAAAGACAAAGAAAAAAAAGTAAAGATACGAAGACAAAGCAAGTGAATGATAACTATATAAAGAAAAAAAAATATGTTATATATTCGTTTTGTTTTAATAATCAGCACCAATACAATGTCTCCGGGTTTGTTTGTTTGTTTTTTAAAGAATCTAGACACGGACAGAAGAAAAAAAAGAAAACAAAAAAAAACTGAACTAGATCATCTATTTACACTCATATAGTTGAAGAGAATAAGAAAGAACAAAAAAAACTGATTTTAAGAAAAGGAAAAAAAAAAGAAAAGAAGACAAATCGATGATGTTCACGTTTTATTTTTGTATATATACACGTAGATTTTCTTTTAAAGCGTCTATACGCGTATTTATAGAAAGAAGGAAAAAATATATGTATAAATATAAGATACTATTTTGGTATCAGTTCGAACTGTCATTCATTGATAATTGAGCTGTTCGAGCTGATGCACTTGTTGTCGAACGTTTTGGATATGAACGAAGATATTCATCTTCACTTAATTGATTTACGTCTGGTCGATCACGAACATTATAAGTTAAACAACGTCGAATAAATATCTAATAAAATCAAAAGAATATGTTTTAGTTTTTAAATATAAGAATCTTCATAATGAATTAATCATGTTAAAAATTTTCTTTGTTTAATTTCGTATATAATCTTACTTTTGCTCCATCAGATATAATTGGTTTAGCAGGAAATTCGACTTCTTTGGCTTTTAATATTGTTTGATTTTCTAATATTGCAGCTTGGGATTGATTATGTCCATAAGGTTTTCGTCCATATAAACATTGAAAAAAAATACACCCTAAACTCCATACATCGACTTTTGAAGAGATTTTTGGAGGATTTGGACCTTGAACAAATACTTCAGGAGGAAGATACCAATACGTTCCTGCACCTTGTGATGTTAAATCCATTCCATGTTCAGGATCATATGTATCTTCACACATTTGTTTACTTAAACCAAAATCTGTTATTTTGATTTCTCCACTACTTGTACCAGTACCCAATAATATATTAGCTGGTTTTAAATCAAAATGAATCACAGGTGGTTTTATACCATTATTTAAATATCTTAAAGCACTAACAGTTTGCATAACAACTGATCGTGCTTCTTTTTCCGGAATATATTTATGTTGTTTTAAGAAGAAATCTATATCATTTCCTTCGATATATTCCAACACAGTACAGAATCTAAATACAAAAAAATTGAATAAAAGAACAAATGATTTTGTATTTTGCACTTACGAATCAGTATCAATTTCAAATACATCAAACAGACGAACAATTCGAGGATGATCAAGTGTTTTAAGAATATCACATTCGCGTAATGCATGTCTAATAAAAATGATGAAATTTTATTAAAAATAATAGAATTTCTTACTTAATATAATTTGCTTTTTTTTCTTCTTTCCATTCTTTATTAAGTTGATGAACTTTAACTGCAACATAACGTTGTTCTTTTAGACAAAAAGCCTTGAAACAAAAAAAAAATAATGATAATGTTTAGTTTTTAATATTATTTTTCATTGATTTACTTTATGAACTTCACTGAAACCACCTTTACCAATGAGCGATAATAGTAGATAACGTTCATTGAGTATTGGATGGTCTTGAAATCTAAAATAATTATAAATTTTTAGATTTCAATAAATATATATGTGAAAATCAGTTATTTGATTGGATATTTTATGATTGATTGATGTCAAAATAACGATAATTCATATATAATACAAACGATCTTCATTAGTCAAAGAGATGAAGTAGTGCTTACAATGTAAAAACAAGATATGACAAAACCTCTTCAAGTGAACATATTTATGTAGTACATAGTTCCTAGACTGATAAAATTTTCTTACTCGATTGAAATCTATACAACGAACAACATCCTGTATTATACTTTTATGTAGTATTTACTACGGATATATTCTTCTACAGTTTTTAACAATGAAAACTCATGATGAGCACTAATTGATTATCTTATTCATTGATAGTCTTCGAATATTTCGATCTACTGAATGAAATAATGAACTGCGGAGTCCAAAAAATCAATTCCGACGTTAACTGTAAGAGACTTTCAAAATTCTTTTTGTAGTTTAGCGACATCTAATTCATTCTAGTGTCTGGTATTATTAATTTTTCTTAAAACTTCTGATGTTCGTTACTTAATATATGATGATTAAAAATGTTCGTAAACGAGCTAAAAATACATGATCCTATCACAGATGCAACTCCGACAGTCTCGATTTTTAAAACCTATTTTCGAAATTCATCTTCTATGATTAGAATTAAATATCTTACCTGGAATGATCTTCATTGTAAATACGTTTTAATTCACGTATATGTAAATTTCTTTCTCTTTCCAGTTTTTCATATTCAATTTGAAGGTCCATTTCTTCTTTTTTCAGAGATGCTTGACGTAACCGCAAGATTTCATCTGATTCATTCCAATCACTTACTAATGATCTATAAGAACATTAGAAACAAAAATTATAAGTAAGATCTTGTTTAGTTCTATTTAATTTGACTTACGCTTTATTTGCATCATTCATTGTTTTCATACCATCATTACTAGTCTCATCTTGAGGTATAAATGCACCCGTACGATCTTTCGTTCTTGATTTTGAATTTGGTGTTTTTGGTGGTTTTTCTTTAACTTCACAATTAGGTCGACGACGTAGCAGATTACGTCGTTCACGATCAAGTTCTTCTCGTGCACGTTGTATCATTTCTTGTTGTCTTTAATTAAATAATTAAATATTTACTAAGTAAAGAACAAAGAACTTAATATACTTAGTAATATCAGAAAATGCTGAGCCATCTGTCCAATTTTCTACAAATGTTGCACCTTGCCGTTGAGTAACAAATTGACCCAATCTCAAACGATTTTCCATACATTTTTGTCGTGCTTGTTTTCGTTCTAGTGTTGACTTAAAAGAGAGAAAAAATAAATTTTTTATATTCTTTCTTTTGTTTTTCAAGAAAACAATAATAAAGTTTCAGTCGAGCATAAAAACAAAACAGGAAATGTTTCTTTTTTAAAACATGACAATGATATATTTATACAAGTCATGCAGACATATAACATTCTCTAAGGAATACTCTAAGTATGACTTTATAGACTAATGCGTTATATACACGGTTTTCTTTGTAATTATTTAGTTTTAATTCATGTCATATATAGGTGAAAGATCAGATGTATCGACACGTTCGAAAATACTATTTTATGACATATATAGACTTTAAAATAATTATTGATTCATCGTAAATAATAATAAAGCAAAAGAGATATTGATTTCGAAGTTATGAAGTAAAAATTATTGGGCGATATGAATCTGAGTTTGATTAAATTAACTTTATACCTGATTTCTATTTTAATTCGATAGTCTACTACAAAATTTCAAAAACTTTAGTGTACTTTATCTTTCTATTAATTAAATCACAAAGCTATTATAAATAAGTTTTCATTCCAGACCTATTTCTTGATTAAATTATCTCAGTTTGTCAATGTATTATAATGGATTCTGACACTTAGATAACATTGAAAATGAATGTTCTATTCTCTCTCTCTTAATAATATGAGTAAAATACACATTTTAAAAAGAGTTTTCTTATATTAGAAAAAAAAATTAATTAATGTATATTAATAAACATAGGAAAAACAAATTTTTCCTTTTCTCGAATAGTCAATAAGAAAATAGTTTTCGTAAAATAACCTGGGATCTTTGTTGAACCGTGACCTATCAAATTTTTCTACGCATTAATCTTATTCTATTTCTAACACATTTTCTATTTTCGTTCGAAAAAAAAAATTCCTTAGTGAATAGATGATTATGATTCTATAACATACTTTTTCTACAAGTAATTTTTTATTCACAGCCAGACATTTTTGAAGTATATTATTTTGTTTATCAAAATCTTTTTTAACATCTGATAATTGTCGACGTAAATCATCTCGTTCCTAGAAATAAAAAATGCTTTCAAATTAATTTAAAATTTTTTTTGTTTTATTACTCTTGTTAAAGTTTGTATTTGACTGTTCTTAGCTTCAAGTTCATTCGTTGCCGAATTTATTGATCCACTTATCTCAGTCTAAAATATTAAAAAAAATAAAAAAAGATTTCGCAATTTAGTTTTTATTTACTTGTGATTGTTTTGAATTAACAGTTGATATATTTGATGATTCAGATGTATGATTTGAATTCGAACATGAATCACTTTGTGCTGATGAGGCAGGAGAAAAACCAATTTCTCGATAATTTGAAACATTCTTTAATACAAAAACGATATGAATTTTATTGATAGATTGTTTATTTTCTTACTTTATTTGTATCTGTAGTAAATTTTTTGTCAGTAGATGATGGGACAGAATTTATCAATGGAAAATCTTGTTGTTTTGGTTGATTCATATTCATATCACTTTTACGTCTTTTTACTTTTTGACCATCAGTATTATCATCAATTTTTGGCGTTCGTTTTCGCCGTACTTTATCCGTTGTTGACTGTTTTTTTAATGTATTATTATTTGATACTGAAGTTGTGGAACCAAATAAACGAAATGGTGAGGTTGGAATGGGTTTAAAATCAAGTATTTCAGTATCGGGTGGATTATTTGCTAGATCTTGTTGGGATAGATGCTAAAAATAAAATGCATATTTTTGAAAGATCAAAAAAAAATATATATGACATACACGTTGTAAACCGTTATTTGTTGGTGATGCACGATTATCAATAGATTCGCTACGTTGTGGAAATAATTTAAACGTTAAAGGTAGAACATCTTGACCTTATTTTCCAAAAAAACAAAAAAATAATATTTTTCAAATAAATGTCAATTTAAAACAATTTACCACGAGAATTAAATTGATTTTCTGTTGGTTTTGAAACGAGATTCATTCTAAAATAATTGTCGCTTTTTTCATATCTAAACACAAAAGAAAAATAACAAATTGTTGTTTTATTAGTTTTTTTTATTTGAAGAATACTTTAAAACAATAGTAACGTCTATCGGTAGAGGGCACACATCGTATTCACGTGATTAATTGATAGAATCCAAGCGTAAAGAAAAAAGAAGCAGCAAAAAAAACACACACACATAGATTACAAATATGAAAGAAAGAGAACAAACTTTATTCATTCTAAAGATTCATCCTCATTGGTTTTTAATATACACATATATATATATATTTCCGGTTATAGAATAAGAAAAAAAAACCGACAAGGAACATATATTGTCTATTTGAGAGTGGAGTATTTCTCTTGGTTTTTTTTTCTTCTAGCTAACTAACAAAGAAAGGAATAGTAGAAAAACGACTAGAGATTGATTATATTTATTACGAATTAGTTGTATATATAAAAATCATTATGGTGGATGGTTAGTAGCATCGCCCAGTTTGTGCGACTCGACCGATCGATCGATCGATCGTTAAAAGATTCGTTCTGACTTAGTTTATTTGTTTTGCATACGACCAATAAAAATTCACAATAACAGTTAAAGGGGGCACTATTTGACGATATGAAGTTTATATATATAAATCTTTAAAGTGTTACAATCAACAATAAATAATTCATTTTAAGATATTAACTCAATTTTTCTTATAAGATATATATTTATACCTATGATCGAAGGTCAAATAAAAGACACACTGTAATCAGTAGTTATAGTCTATAGATTATAGTAATGATAATAAAACAAACATCATTAAAATGTATTCTTATAAAAAAAAATATTTATTTTTCAAATCTTCTTGTAATAAAACTCATAAAGAATTTATTTTTAATGATAAATCTGAATATGATTTAATAATTAAGTTCTCTTCGACATTTCATTTATTGTGAGAAAATAATATTTTATATCACTATTAGTAACACATACATTGAAAAAGTCAACCGAGACGAAAAATGATACATAAGAATATACTAGTACTAAAATGTATAGTGATAGAAAATCAATAAATTTGATGGTAAAATGTATTCTTGTGAATGTTTATACTCATTTCATAATGATAATTAAATATAAAATGGTTTGTCACATTAAAGATTCTGTTTTAATTTATTATTTGAATATAAAATGAAATAAAATTCACAAGTATTCAATGACATAATAGAGAAGAATTTATGATTTTTACAGATCATAGATTCAATTTATTAATCATTTCAATTTTATCGATCAAGTGTATATTTCGAGAATACCGTTTACCATATTCTTTCATTAAAAGAATCAATTGTTGATTTTATTCTATGTCTTAAATCATTGGGATCAATGTATATCCTTGAAATATATATATATACCATAAAAGTTTGTTAGTAAAATATGATCGTTTATCATAGTTTTTATCCTTCAGAATTTATATTGAACAGGTGACATTTGTAAATATATAAGTCATCGTTCTAGTTGATATTAGTACGATGTATATATATATAATGTTTTATGTCTTCTTATACACATTTATATATATAATGGATTAAAATAAGAGCAAAAAAAAAGTTGTTTTTCTTTATTGGGTATATATGTGGAATATGATTATGATTGATATGAAAATAAAATAATGTTATATAATATAGATAAACTTCTTATAAGAGTATGAGACAAGTTGTTGTTACTATACTTATGACTATATTGGACAAACAACAAGCTTCCGGACGGAATTGTATTGAAGAAAAAAAGAACTCTTTTCGCATCATCGCACATTTGATTATATATATATATATACGTATGTATATAATGCCAATAGCTATAGGTACAAATCATTATATTTGTCTAGTGCTGAGCAACTCATCTGTCGTTATTTTTTTCTTTACCAAATTATCGTGGTCCCATAACAGTCGCATATATATATGTGTGTGTGTGTAAGTAACGTTCAATGTTGTCTTGCACATCTCAGAAGACAATTCTCAAGTTAACATATTTATGCTTTCTTATTAATCTATGAGTGTATATATATATTTAGTAGATTTTAACAGAATGATGAATATGATGCTCATTTGTTTTTAACGTATATAATAGGAGACAAATTGTACTACATTTTCTTCTAATGAATAAAATGGAATTGTCATTGTTAGTACTATTGACTAAATATAATCACTTCTCTTTCTTTTTCTTTCTCATTCTCTTGCTTTGCATGTACGTATACGAGTTCATATGTGGACATAACGATCAATTATAATACAGGTATGACAGGTGATAGTAGTTATACGAACTGTAAGTGTATATTTTTATTGAATCTAAAATGACTCTCATAAACAGTTAATATCTGTACTTTTTTTCTTCTAAGAAGTAAGTACATAACTAATAGTTAATCATTTCATATTGAATATTCTATTACAGAGAAACATTTTTGATGTAATAAAAGTAGAGATTAAATGTATGAATATGAATTAGGAAATTAATTATCATATTCTTTCGAGATTTTATTCATTATATGTATTTTCAAAGAGAATTTTTATTATGAGAATAAGGGAATTGATTTCTTTTGTTTTTTTTTCTTTCTCTTCTTCTTTTTCTTTTTAGATGATTTGATATATTCTCTAATGCGAACAGAAATAATCGATACGACTTATTATCTTCTACAATTCTTATTACTATGGGAATGTATAAGTTTATCTCAAGGTAAAAATCTTAATTTGTATTTTTGAAGAAGAAGAAGAAGAAAAAATAGTCTATTGAAAAAGTTCAAGTTAAAATAATAAACATAATAGAAGCATTTACTTTATTTGACATCTATATGTGTAGACAAAAGTAATTTAGGTAGCAATCAACTTTTTAGTTTTTATTGAATGAAGAAATAAAGTAAAACAAGGTCAAAAAGAGGAGGAGCAATCAAATTGAACTAATGTTATTTTAATAGACTTTGCGATTGTTTTGTTTCTATGACAATAGAGTGAATATTTAAAATTCGATTAATCAGTCTGATCTATCGGGGGTGTATATATATATTTTTAGCTTATTGGATACGAGATCTTTCATATTGTCCACGTAAACGTGATGTAACTCGACAACGACGATGTTTTAAATCATGTTTTGATGATAGCGATTGTCGAAGTCGATATCGTTCATGTTTATGTGATTATGATTGTGGCATGTCATGTATAAAACGAGGTAAAATTTTTATACATGTGATTGTAACTATTTTTTTAATTTTTTCTTAAATTTAGGTGTTAGTTGTCCTTTTCTAACACTTCCGGAAAATGGAAAGATCATATATTCAAATGAAAATAAATTTGGTTCACGTGCAACCTATGAATGTGATCCAGGTTTTGTACTTGAAGGTTCAAAACATCGAAATTGTCAAGGTGATATGTGGTGGGGACCAACGGATTCTGTTCCGTATTGTACGAAAGAAGGTATTATTAATTGAATATGTCAAGATGATCATCTATTGATGACTTTATCACATATATCGAGATAACAACATAAGATATCAACTTAGGTGTTCTATTTCTATTATGTATATATATGTATAAAAGTCTAGACTTGTTATAATGTTCATTGAATTAAACATAATTGTGATATAATTAAAACGACATATTAATGTAAATTGACTTTTTCTTTTTGTCTTTTAATTACTATTAGTTTTTTGTAATCGACCACCTGATATAAATAATGCAGTTAATGATATTCCAAGTACAATAACTACATTTCATGCTAGTTATTCAGTTACATATACATGTTTAACTGGTTATATTGGGTATGTTCAAAAGAATACAATGAAATACATTTATTTCTTTTGTTATAATATATAGAAATGGTACAACGAAATCAGAATGTACTTTTCTAGGTCAATGGACATTTGCAACATTAAAATGCACTCGTAAGTGATAAATATTATATTTTTTTGAATTATTATCTATTTTAAAATAGCTATTGATTGTGGTTCACCGGGTATATTACGTAATGGATTTTTAAGTGGTGAACGATTTGATTATCCAAATATAATAGCATTTTTTTGTAATGATGGTTTTGAACTTATTGGAGAATCTACAACTAGAGCTTGTCAAGAAAATGGCTTATGGTCTGGAGCAATGCCACTTTGTCGAAGTAAATACAAAATAGAATCTAAGCATTTTTTAAATTTTAAGCTTTTAGAAAAAACATGTGGGTCACCTCCGACAGTTTCCTATGGTGAAATAATTCAACCTGATCGAACAACGAATGAAACTATTCAATATATTTGTCAAGATGGTTATCAATTACAAGGATCAGCAGTTTTAAAATGTATTTCATATCAATGGCAACCAACACCACCCATATGTAAACGTAAGTTTTAATTTTCTTTTCTTCTTTTCTATTTTACAAAAAAGAAAATTTCATATCTAGGAATAATATGTGAAGATCCTCAAAAACTTTTTAATGGTTATATTAAATCTTCATCAAATAATACTTCATTACAATATTCAATTGGTTCAAAAGTAAAATTTCATTGTCCATCAAATTTAACATTAAGTGGTTCACATATTTCGAAATGTCATATGAATGGTAGTTGGTCACCGAAAATTCCTAAATGCAAAGGTTTATTGTATTGATTTTTATATTAATTCAAATCAATTCTGTTTTTCTTTACTTATAGAACCAATTTCTTGTTCAATTCCATCATTACCTTCAAATGCTCGTTATTTAAATCTTCATTCATCAAATCAACAAATCAATGATGGTCATCATTTAGAATATATATGTGGAAATTCTCGACGTCGTCATCGAATACATTGTCGTAGAGGAAAAATTTTACCAAAAATATTAAAATGTTTCAATGGTAAATGAAATTCAAACAAAAAATTCTATCCTATAAATTTTTATAATTTAGGTTGTCGAGTTAAAAATGAACATGTCATATATTCAAAACCATTCTATCGACATAGAGAACAAGTTCATTTTACTTGTAGTAATAATAGTTTACCTTCATTAAATAATGGAACAATACATTGTATTAATGGAACTCTTTCTAAACAACCAGTTTGTCATCAAATACCAATAATGTGTACTGTTCCTCATACACTTTTCTTACGTAATATCGTTAATACAACAATTCCATCTGGAACATTATTTGAAATTGGTACATCATTTTCTTATACATGTATTCAAGATCATCAACCAATAAATAGTTCAGCAATTGTTGAATGTCTTGAAAATGGAAAATTATCTCATCATCCACAATGTATACCATTGTCATGTAAAGAACATCCACCAACAATACCTAATGGTCGAACAATATTTCGTTCAACAGCACATGATTCTCAAGCAAGATATAGATGTTTTCCAGGTTATAAACTTGAATATAATAATTTAGCAAAATTAACATGTCAATATGGTTCATGGTTACCTAAAGAACTACCTCGATGTTTACCAGGTAATAATAAATCTTCTTGATTTTTAGTCTAAAATAAGAATTAGTTCTTGAGAATCATTTACTATAAATAAAGTAAGCTTTATTGTACAATAGGAACTCATTTTATATCATAATGAAAGAAAAACATCAGCCGTTTTCGTATTTCTTATACAATGATATATAATAAACAAAAATATTTTTAGTCTTTTGTGCTAATCCTGGTCCATTATTACATGGACAAATCTATGTCGTACTTAAAGATGAACGTATATCACCAGTACCAATTCGACGTGAATTTCGTGCATATATACCAAATGTACATCACGGACGAACAATTGAATTTGAATGTGATTTAGGTAAGGATATTAGATTAGTTTTTATTGCAAAAAAAAGTGTTTCCTTTATATAGGATATGTTCTTCATGGTCCAACTGGATTAACATGTAATCATGGTCAATGGATGCCAGCTGAAAGACCACGATGTATTCTTGGTAAGGTTTCTTTTTCATATAAGTTTATTATTATTCACAAAACATTTTTCTTTTATCTTATTAGAAAATCATGTACAACCAAATATTATCTTTACAGGATAAAATTTTGTGTTTTTTTTTACAAAGAAGTGAAGCTGGTCTTCATATTTACTGCTTATAACAGCATCTCTATATAAATGAATGCATGACTCTTTTTTTTTGTCATTATTGGATGTTTTTTTTTGTATTTTAGTCAAGAATGATGTTTTGTTTTCTTTTGTCTAATTATTTAGTAAATGATATGAACATTGTCTAGTTCGTTTAGATAATTTGACAATTGATAATCAAAAAGTAATCATTTAGACATTACTGTGTCTTTTTACTCAGATGAGCTTTTATAGTGAATAAAATGTATATATATATGTAATAATTATTTTATCTTTAAGAAAAATATTCAAAATAACAAAAGAATTCTTTAGATAAATAAAATATGTTTATTTTAATGTCTATATTCGATCGAGTACAAGTGATCGGGCTATGTATATATATATATATTTGTTTATTTAAAAATCTTCATTCTATGCTTTAAAGAGTACTAATATTATATAACTAAGTTTCATATATACCTAACATACAAGATCACTGAGTTTGTATTACAATCATTTTCTCTTAGTGTCTTTTCAACGTAGGACGACGAGAAATGCATGACTACTGCATGTCTAATGCGTGATCACTTGGTGACAAATTGAGCACGTAGGAGGCGACGAAGAAGAAGAAGAGCAAAGAAAAAGAAAAGAACGAACTTTTGTCGTTATTATTCTCTTAATTTTTCCCGTCTGCATATAAACTTAATTTACACATATATAATCGTCGCCGATCAAGAAGAGAAACATTCAAACGCATATATTCTGATACTTCATAATCGAGACATTATACTCACTACAAATACAGCTGCTATGGATAAAGGTGTTCTTCGTCGTTATCTAGATTTGCCACAGCCTGATGACAAAATCATGGCTACTTATGTTTGGATTGATGGGACGGAAGAAAATCTTCGAGGTAGATATGAAGTATCTTTTAATATTTTATCTACATCATTGAGATAAATAGGTAAAACTCGAACTATTGATCAAGAACCAAAATCCTATAAAGATTTACCATGGTGGAATTTTGATGGATCATCAACAGGTCAAGCCGAAGGTTCAAATTCTGATATTTATCTCAAACCAGTAGCTATCTATAATGATCCATTTATGCTTGGAAAAAATAAACTTGTTATGTGTGAAACATATAAATATAATAAAGAGCCAACTGGTTTGTAACATAAATATATATTTATTTAGTTATTACATGTATTTTCTATAGCATCAAACAAACGATTTAAATGTGAAGAAACTATGAAAGCTGCAACTGATCAACATCCATGGTTTGGACTTGAACAAGAATACACACTTCTAGATCGTGATGGTTGGCCTTTCGGATGGCCAAAAGGTGGATTTCCTCATCCACAAGGTCCATACTATTGTGGTGTTGGTGCATCACAAGCTCTTGGTAGAGATATCGAAGAAGCACATTACAAAGCATGTTTATATGCTGGAGTGAATATAAGTGGAACAAATGCCGAAGTAATGCCTGCTCAATGGGAATATCAAGTTGGACCATGTGAAGGAATTGATGCTGCTGATCAACTTTGGCTATCACGCTATTTACTATTACGTATTGCTGAAGAGTTTGGTATTCAAGTCAGCTTTAATCCAAAACCAATTCCAGGTGATTGGAATGGTGCTGGATGTCATTGTAATTTCTCAACTCAAACTATGCGAGAACCAAATGGTATTGAGTAAGTTTTCTCTGTTAGAAGTCGATCTATGTAAATGTTTCTCTTAGAGCTATTGACGAAGCTATTACTCAACTTAAAGCTCGTCATAAAACACACATTGGTGTATATGGTCGTAATAATGAACTTCGACTCACTGGTCGACATGAAACAGCAAATGTATGATTATATAGTAATCAAATATTTTTGTATTAAGAATTGTCTATTTAGATCAATCAATTCAATGCGGGTATAGCTAATCGTGGTGCATCAGTACGAATTCCTCGTCAAGTTGGTGAAGAAAAATGTGGGTATTTAGAAGATCGTCGACCAGCTTCGAATTGTGATCCATATGCTGTCACTGATATTATAGTTCGTACTGTATGTCTTGGTGAAAAAGATTCAGATACATTAAATTATTCAACGAGAAAAGCAGTTACTGATAAAGAATAATTTATCATTTAAAATTATGCTATCAATAGTTTTTTTTTTCTAATTTGTAGGCGGATGTATATAACCGAGTAGATATAGCACTTTAGTATCAATATGCATTTGTTTCTTATTTCTGTTATAATTAAAATCACGTTCAGATATATGAATTAAATTGATTGATGTACTAATAAATCCGTTTTGCATTCGAATATATACTTTGATTCTTATTCTAATGAAATCTGATTTTAGTCCTTCTATTGATTGTATGCTATTCATGTCACACATTTTTTGGTATAAAATAGTTTCTTACATTGAATATGTCTTCTCATCGTTATGCAAATTACCATAATAACCGCATACGATAGATTTTAATTGAACATATATTAAAACCAAAAAAATGATTATATTATTATACGTCATTTATTTTTCATAAAAAGAATATAATTTATGCGAACATTTTAACGCTCGGTATATTCTGAGTGTATTGATATTTTTTTCCGGTCTCATTCAAGAAGATCAAAGCTTCATATTAGTCAAAGAGAATTAGATATAAAGCATTTGACAGGAAAAGAAAAGAAAGAAAGAAGCATAAAACTTAGCGGCATATCACAAGAGATTCAAGTCAAAACGTAATAATAATCTGAAAAACATACAACAAAACTATACGGATCGAAGGTGATAATTTATTCTAGATGTTATGCTAGTTTTTGAGTAGAATTCAATAATAATATATATTATTCATGAATCAATGTGTGAAGAAAGAAATGACTTCGATAATGTAGGTATACATAGGTAAGAAAACTTTGAAAAATAAAGTATTATAATAATCAATGTTTTTTGAAAAAAAAGATAATTTGTTAAATACTTTAATTTCCTTTTAAATAGGCACTTGAACAATAAAGAGATATTCAGGATAAAAATCTGTTGGTATCCATTAGTATTGTTTACAAGTATATGCATTCTCGCTTAGAATAAAATGTGTTCATCGAGGTTCTATTCTATCGAGAAAAACAAAACAACTGTGTTTCCTCTCTCTCGTTTTTTTTTCGTTCTGATAAAAAACACTCAAGAATCTTATATTCTTAGCACAATAGTATATTGTTTCTTAATGTTGTCTATTTGTCATCGTCGAAAGAAAAAAAAACATACGTTATTAATAAGAAATTCTATTTATGATATTTATGATCTACAATAAACTTCCTCTACGAGATAATTAGTTTCTTGATATATTGATGTACCTCGTTCTTTTTTTAATATTATTAAGAATAGTGCATGACTCCTTATGAAAATGTTAGTGGAGAAAAGAAAGTTTTTTATTCGATTAATTTCAATATATAAATAAAATTTCTCGTCGTCTATGTTGTCATCGATGAAGTTATTCTGAAAGAAGTTTTTAATAATAGAATAGGAGAAAGAAAAAAAAAATATATATATGTGAACATCGACATCCCTAGAAGCTATAGGATGAAATCAGGAGAAAAAGAAAACTATCAAAACATGTCAGAAAAACAAGATTTTTATGGTGTCATTAGTAATAGGATTGATAAGAAGGTTAAGATAGAGAGATTGAAATGTTTATAGATAATTTTGTTTTATGTGTTTACAGATCAGTATAACTATTAAATATTAGTATAATCATGAATACAAAATCAACTAATGTTGGTTCTACGGATAAAGCGATACTTCGTCGATATTTGGAATTACCTCAACCAGACAATAAAGTTATGGCTACTTATATATGGATTGATGGTACTGGAGAAAATCTTCGAGGTAAGAAACAAAATATTTATGAGTACATCCTCTTCAGATTATTATTTATTTCTTGAATAGCAAAAACTCGAACAGTTGATAAAGAACCAAAATCACATAAAGATTTATCATGGTGGAATTTTGATGGATCATCAACAGGTCAAGCTGAAGGTTCAAATTCGGATATTTATCTCAAACCAGTAGCTATCTATAATGATCCATTTATGCTTGGAAAAAATAAACTTGTTATGTGTGAAACATATAAATATAATAGAGAACCCACTTGTAAGAAAATCGAATACTATCTTTATTTTTTCTTAATCAAAATATGCATATTTTCTATAGCATCAAATAAACGTATCAGCTGTGTAGAAGCTATGAAAGCTGCAACTGATCAACATCCATGGTTTGGACTTGAACAAGAATATACACTTTTAGATCGTGATGGATGGCCATTCGGATGGCCAAAAGGTGGATTTCCGCATCCACAAGGTCCATATTATTGTGGTGTTGGTGCATCACAAGCTCTTGGTAGAGATATTGAAGAAGCACATTACAAAGCATGTTTATATGCTGGAGTTAATATAGGTGGAACAAATGCCGAAGTCATGCCTGCTCAATGGGAATATCAAGTTGGACCATGTGAAGGAATTGATGCTGCTGATCAACTTTGGTTATCACGTTATTTATTATTACGTATTGCTGAAGAATTTGGTGTTCAAGTTAGTTTTGATCCAAAACCAATTCCAGGTGACTGGAATGGTGCTGGATGTCATTGTAATTTCTCAACTCAAACTATGCGAGAACCGAATGGCATTGAGTAAATCATTTTTCTTTATTGAATGTATATGCTAAGATATGTATTTTGATTATTCATAGAATTATTAATGAAGCAATTCAACTACTTCAACAACGTCATAAAACACATATTAGTGTATATGGTCGTAATAATGAACTTCGACTCACTGGTCGACATGAAACAGCAAATGTAAGATTATATAGTACTGAAATACTTTTTGTATTTAGATTTGTCTATTTAGATCAATCAATTTAATGCTGGTATAGCTAATCGTGGTGCATCAGTACGAATTCCTCGTCAAGTTGGTGAAGAAAAATGTGGGTATTTAGAAGATCGTCGACCAGCTTCAAATTGTGATCCATATGCTGTCACTGATATTATAGTTCGTACTGTATGTCTTGGTGAAAAAGATCCTGAATCATAAAATTAATTATTAATTTTCAGTCGATTTTTATTACGAAAAAAGAAGAATATGTGTAATGAAATCGATTATTGAATTATGATGACGGCTTTCCTTTTCTTCTTTTCATTTCCTATGACATCTCTTTGATCATTTATGATGTTTTAAATGTTCCACTACATTAATCTATTTCTGTTGGGTCTTTCTTTCTCATGTGATTTTTGTTAGTATCATATATATCTATACATTATTTCATCCCGGTTTTTTATTTTAATCGTAGCTATATCTATCATTTTAATCGATTCCAAATAAATAAATCTTTCGTCAATGTATGTATAAATTCTATATATAGAAAAAGTGATTGGTTGATTCCCTGGTTATGAATAGTACCACTTATATCATATCCTATTCTAACAAGGATTCGAAGAACAAAAGATAAGAAAAATAAATCTGAATAGAACCTGCTGTGTAGTTTAATTATAAGAGATCACTGATAATATCAATGAATTGCTTTCTATTATTCGAAATTATGAGGAGAAAACATGCTGATGCTGTCACACATTCAATACAAAAAAGATTTCCCCAATCAATAGCGCACACTTATACGAATATAGCTTTGCTCTATATATGATGGATTTTAAGCATAGGAAAAGCTGCTTATATATTTATAATAAAAGGATAGCTTTATTCTGTTTTATAGTAATTTATATGATTGCCTTGTGAACATTAGAATCGTTTTTTGTTATCTATTGTGATGTTACGGATATATAGAGCGATGGCAGATGGTATTTGTACTTAAAAGAATCTTTATAGTAAATAACTTCAATGATAAAATATCGAATTTTATAATAATATATGTGTTGAATAGAAAAATAAGACATTAACTATTTACTATCAATATATTTAAATATAAACTGTCATTCTAAATTTAATATCTTTCACGTTATCTTCAATTATGATTTATTAATTGCTTTCAACGATCGTTTTAAAAAGTTTAATTGTGGAATATTATTAATATATGAAAATCTTTTAAATACTTATTGAATTTTAATTAGCAATAGTCTTCTTTTTTTTCTTAATGAAAGATTGCACTTAAATTACTATTAAATTTAAAATCAATTCTCACTCTTAATTGAAGTTGACAACTTTTCATAGATACACTTACTGTCAAAGAATATTTAGTACGATGAGTTAATATATTAGTGAGTCAACTTTCTAGTTAAACACGGCATATATATAGATATGGTTATTAACAATAAGCAATTCTATTTCACTTAATTAAAATAAAAATAAAATCGGCTGGATAAAAGTATATTATTCCCAACGGTTATTCTATTATTTATTTCTTTTGCTCTTGATAGTCAAGGACAATATTTGTTCACTGTATTCGTTTTATGCTTTGAATTATCAAAGGTCAGATCAATTCGATTTTAAAACAACTTGGAAATAATATAATGAAATTATCAACATTTTATGAAGATAAATAGTTTTTAATCTATATCATACATATGTCATCATATTTTGAATTATTAACTATTGATAGTTTCATAGTTAAACTTCAGACATATAAAACAAGAAGCCGTTTATTCATATTTACACCAACAACGAGATATCAATCGTTTTTCTTTTCTTTTCTTTCTCACTCTTCTATTATCGTATATAATTCAAGAATCTCTTCTCCTTGAAGAAGAAGTACTCAAGAAAAAAAAAATGATTTCTGCTTCAGTTGAAATATAGTCATAAAAAGAAATGAACGATGCATACATATTATTTTGATTTCCATTTGTCCTTGTTCTATGTTGCTTTTGTAGTATCAACGTATTTCTTTGTTGACAGATGTATTCCTCATATGTATAAGAACGTTTCATTTTTTTTCTGTTGAAAATTTTGTTGTTATTTAAACTAGAAAATGTTTGGTTGATCATATCTTAAATTGCATCAATAGACAAATGATTGAAGTACACCTTATCCTATCCCATGTTTGTTTAATCAAGTATAAAATGAGATGTTTTTTGTAACATAGATTTTTAGTCAAAACAGTAAAACGTAAGAGTGAAAGGAAACAAATCTAATTAGAATACAATTGTTTTTTTTCTCTACTATCTGTAATATATATTAAGAATTCAAAAAGTTATGAATAGTTAATTATGATACATAACTATTTTGCATATGACTAACTTACACAACAAAAACTGATTATTAACACATCTGCACACATAAACTATTGGTCTAATTAAGAAAAAATAAAAAATAAAAACAATCCGAAAGAAAGAAAAAGATATGTGTCATAATAAAAACAAATATATTAGAAGTATTTATCTTTATTATTAAGAAAAAGGATTAAGTCTCTGGAAAAGCTATTCTTAAAACAAAAATATTGCGTCGTATATTGTTCTAATAAACATTATATGATATGTATTACAAATGAACAATTTATTGGATGAATAAATTATATACAGGCCACATTTTATCGTTTATCATTACAACCTATATATATATACTTTAAATACAGTGTCTTTCATCGATATGTTATTATCTTATACATTTATCATTGCCTTACAAACATATAAGACATTTGTCTAAATTAGATATCGCAATATTAAAGAGTAAAAGGGCGTTTTATGTTCATTATTATTAATCGTTTACGCTTGTACGTATAAAATTCTTTATGACCGTAAAATGAACATACATTGTCATCATTTACTCGCATAAAGTTTGATAGTATATACATGTTCTGTCTACTAATAGTAATTATGATCGAAGGCTTTTTTTTCTTCTAAACATAAATTATTTTTTGTTTCTTGACAGAATCAAAAAGTGAGTACAAAAATGTTCGACCGTATACATTTTCCTTTTTTTTTTGTTCTTTTATTGGACAGATTTATCAGCTATTGAGTATATTAGATTTCACTTATTGTACATATTTATGACATTTTGTACATTTGATGGACACAATTCTTGTGTCATCCGGAAGTTAATAGAACATGGCAGTCAATGTCTAGACGGAATGAAGCGAAGAGTCTTTAATTTTTTTTAGAGAGATTATTATTAGCATTATGAGGCATACTTTGTACGCTTCATTTTGTAACTAACAAGAGACAAACATCCATTTTGTTCGATGCCGTTAGCAAAAAAAAAAGAGCCCATAAAAATGGTAACGTGACGTCTTTAGGGAAAGAAAAAAAAATGAGAAGGAGAGAGAGAGAAAGAGAAAGAGAGCAATATAAGGAGGAGGAAGAAGAAAACAACAGTAGACAGGAGCGACTGATGTAATACGTGCCTATGGATGAGCGAGAATGACAGTCAGGGAAAATGCGGTAGTAGATCAGAGAAACGAAGATAGAAATAAGGTCCTATCATACATAATAGCCTGATGAGTAGTAGGTCATTTATTGATATCACAGTAATAACAACAGTAACTTCATGCTGTTCATCCATCTTATATTCATATCACTGTTAGTTATTTGTACAATTTGTGATCTGTTTCTTTTCCATTCTTTTTTCTCATTTGTGGTTTGATTACTATGTGTTGATTGAAGTTAATACTGACTGATCTATGTTTATTTACCAATGGCAAATATACAATGATTCTTTTCTTTTATATGCCGTTAGTTGAGATAAAAATTATTGCATAGTTCAGTTAGACATGGAAACGTGACATCCATAAATACATTGCTTAGCTTATCAAAAATGATAACTAAGAAAGAATTTATACGGTTAAATGAATATATATATATATATATATCGAATATTTTTCTTTTTAGATTTTCCTATTGTTTATCTTTAATTATTAATTATGGGAAATACTTTGCCTCAAATAACTTCTTATCGATCATTAAAAATACCAAAAATAAAATCACCATGTTCAACAATAAAAAAATCACGTAGTTTACGAGAATATACACGTAATACATCATTAGTTACCAATTGTGTTAATAGTAATAATAATAATCGAAGAAATATTTCATTTTCAAGACCACGATCATTGCCTCCAACTGATGCTGAAATAATCGATATTCATGCATTACGTTGTGAAATGTCAACATCAAATATAGATGAAGGTGAAAAGCAATTAATAAAACAACTTAATTATATTCATTCATGTGTACGAAAAGATAAAGGTTTATTTGGTAAGTATTAAAATTTATGAAAAAAAAACAATCAATTAATAAAAATCTAAAAAACTTAGGTAAAATAACAGAAAATCTACAAAATAAACATATTTTTTCAAATGATGAACCAGAAAATACCCATATATTAGAACAAACACCAGATGAATATAATATGGATTATCAGTCGATTTATTTGCAAACACTTGATGGAGAATTTATTCATGCTTATTGGATTTATCAAGTGGGAGATATAAACTCAACAACGACAATTTTATATTTACATGGTGCAGGTGGAAATATTTCACATAGATTAGAAGTTTTACAACTTTTTCATGAAAATATTCATTGCAATATTTTAATTATTGATTATCGAGGTTAGTATATATAGATAGAAATCAATAAAAGAATTTTTTTGTTTTTTAAGGTTTTGGTAAAAGTTCTGGCGTACCATCAGAACTTGGCCTTTATATTGATGCTCAAGCAGCTTATGATTATTTAATCTATAAACAAAAAATTTTGCCTGAGAATATAATTGTTCTTGGTACAAGTCTTGGTGCATCTGTTGCTATTCAACTTGTTAGTGATCCATTAAATCGTGTTAAAGTTGCTATATTTGAAAATGCTTTTATTTCTGTACCTGAAATAGCTAAATATTTCTTAACATATGCTAAAAGTGTTATTGGTATAACAAAATCTATTGGCTTTATTTATTTATTTGATTCATTACCAAAAGTACGTCGTATAGAATGTCCATGTATTTATTTAACAGGTTTACTTGATCCTCTTATTCCAACATGGATGTCAAATACATTATATAATGAAACACTTTCTTCAACTAAACGTCAATTATATGAATATCCATTTGGTAAACATAATGATTTACCAGTAATGAAAGATTATTTTGAAAATATACAATCATTCATTAATGAATTATCATTAATTAAATCTGCTGAAACAGATCAATTGGTGCTAAGACAATAATTTTATTCTCATATTGTTTGTTATACATAATATATATCTTTTTAAATCAATAGAAATCATATGTTAATAATATATTTGAAATTTTTGTAAAGAAAAAAATAAGAAATAAATATAATTGTGTGTTTTTCTCATTACATTTATTTAACAAAAGTATATATATTTGATATTGCTTATTGAGCAACTAAATTCTTGATATCTAATATAAGTAATATAAGATATCAGATACAGGATCTTTATCAACAAAAATTCTTGAAATATCTATTATCATTAGTAATACTAATACGACTATGAAAACTGAGTATACTATATGTTTTTTTCTCTTCTGGAGATATTAAAACCAGACTTACTATAAAGATGTTTAGATTGATGGATACAACATTTCTATGATGATGAAGCTATTTTATTTTATAAAAAAGAATGTCTTCTAACTTTTTACATTCGATTCCTAATCGGATTGTATAATGAGGACAATTATAGTTAATTAGTTTACATATATTCTTCATAATGTCATTATTACGATAATGAATTTACTAGTAATTAATATTTTAATTGTAAATTTTAATAAAATACATTACTAAATATAAAATTAAAAACAAATATTTTATTCTCGAAGAACGAATGGTCGTTTTATATAGATTCTTATATAACAGTAAAGCGAAATAATACTGTTCTACACGTGTAAATTGTTTTCTTTCTGTCCACTTTCTCCGAGAGACATAGATATAATCGTTTAAATTTCACACATTTCATTTAACAACTTTCGAATTTTACGTCCACACCAAGGACAATTGCGAGTACACAGGACGATCATTCCAACCATCGGAAAGGACGTCTTATAAGACCCCTTCCAAGTATCTACTCCTACCAACAGCATTAGATCTTGCATCCAAAACTTGTCTTCGGAGTGCTTGATTTTCCTCTTGGAGACTTTTTATTCGGCTTTCAAGCTTTGCAACCAATTTGTCTCTTGTCTGTTAACTGGAAAGATTAGTTGCCATTCACTAAATTTTATAAAAGAATAGGATTTAACTACAATAAAATAATTTAGTAAGTGAGCGTACCTTTTATTATTTGATAGTTTTCCAAAAGAATTTAGATATTATCTTCTTTGGAAAATTAATGATAAATGGTGCAATTTACTCACCAGTTTTATTGGCTTTTTAATATCAGTACCCGCTCAAATAACATTTCTTGCTCCAAATCGTGTCTTCGTTGGTACTTTAGTGTTTGGGATTAAGCAAGTCTTGGACATCTTTTTATCAACTTACTTTATAATGCTTCTTCCCGTATTTGGTCTCTTTGTTCTTTATTTATTGGATAAGGGCCGATTAAATCAAGTTAGTAACTTCCATACCGACACCCACACCCAAAAAAGAAGAGAAAAGAAATGTATAGTCTTGGTTTTTGTTTTGCGTCGTTTACTTTATTTATGTACCACTGGCTATAAAAGAGTTAATTTCATTTCAAATAGATGTCACATAATAAAATTTTGTTGAATCTCAAACAACTAAAAAAAAAACTTTTTTTAAAAAGCCGGTATCAGATGAGAAACAGGGTATGTGGGTGTGGGTGTGGGTGTGGGTGTGGGTGTGGGTGTGGGTGTGGGTGGGTGTGGGTGTGGGTGGGTGTGGGCGGGTGTGGGTGGGTGTGGGTGGGTGTGGGTGGGTGTGGGTGGGTGTGGGTGGGTGTGGGTGGGTGTGGGTGGGTGTGCGTGTGGGTTCGGAGGTGGATGTAGATAATGTACTCACCTAGTTCCTACACTCACACTTACAGCCTTACACACTCACCCACATTCACACTCACACCCACCCCTACACCCACACCCACACTCACACCCACACCCACACCCACACCCACACCACACCCGGAAAACTAAAATCATAGTTTACTCTATAATATGTATTTAATAAATATGAAAAGTGTTATGACAAACTAATTAAATTAAATTAATCTTAGATACAGAATATTCCTTATTATATTAAGATTGAAAAATATATGAACATGATTACGTGTTTATATACCGAGTGTTTCAGACAAGCAAGCCCACATAAATTTGTTTCGAGGGGGGGGGGAGATTGACGACTTTGCAAGAAAGTTCATTACTGAAAAAGGTTACTTCAAATTTCTAAAAATGTTTCGCCCTGTACTTCCCTCTCGGTATTTTAATTTTTTTGGGGGTGATCGATCTCTCCATTCTCCACTTTGCGGACGTCCCTGATACGAATTCCTATGTAACAAAAAAGCGAAAGAAAACTTGTACACGTGTACATATATATATATATTTATTTTTTTTCTCGAAATGTTTTCTTCCTGTACAATCTCATCGAGCGACTTAGATAAGATCGATGAAATTTCCCACATTTCATTTCATAACTCGAAGTTCACGTCCACAACCAGCTTTTTCATTAAATAACAAAAGGTACGATCAGCAACTAAATTATTTTAATTTAGTTAAATCCTATTCTTTTGTAAAATTTAGTGAATGGCATCTAATCTTTCAAGTCAAGAGAATGGCGAAAAATTGGTTGTGAAACTGGGAAGCCGATAATAGAGATTCTTCGGATGGAAAATCAGACGCCTCGAAGGCAGGTTCTACACACAAGATATAATGCGAGTGCTACGAAAAGACGGCCTGAATGATCAATATAGTTACTCGCAATTATCCTTGGTTATTATGTGAACATTCCAACTACGGCTTACCTATCCATATTCGACAAAAATTCCAAAGCAATTCAGATATTATCTTGTTTGGAAAATTAATGATAAATGGTGCAGTTTACTCACCAGTTTTATTAGATTTTTAATATTTGTACCCGCCCAAATAACGTTCCCTGCTCCAAATCATGTCTTCTTTGGTGCTGTAGTATTTAGTATAAAACAAATTCTGGACATCATTTTACCAACTCAAAGAGTGGTTGTGATTTATTTTTAAATGATATCGATACGCACAAACACCAGCACGCACCCCTCCTAATTGTGATAATACGTAATATAGCTATATTTTATTCTTATGTAGTGAAAATTTTAAATGTATTTTTGTGTTCATGTTATATTTGTAAAAAAGTTATTTTTGAAAATGGCTATATAATAGCCGAAACGTCAACATTAAATAAATTATTAAAGTTAAGTTAAATTTAATTTTTCTTTTTTGTAATAATAATATGATATTTTACGTCGCTGTCATTTATAAATTCTTATTAAAGTTATTGCCATCAACAATTAGTAATATTTTAATTGATAAGTTCAATAAAATAAATCAAGAAGATTACAATAGAAAAATCGTATATTGCATCAATGTTTTTAAAGTAATTTCGCAAGACATTACTAAATATAAAAATATTTTCTTTCATCATTCTTTTTCATTTCACCAAAAGATAAAGAAAAAAGAAAAAATTTTTTCTTGCATCATGCATTTATATTGTAAAAATATAACTATAAAATCAAGTTTATTTCTATTCGTATTGATTATTTAAAAAAATGTGTGAAGATAAAAATAGTATGCGTTTGGAAATGGAAAACTTATTAAAACGACGATTTTTTTATGATCAATCGTTTTCAATTTATGGTGGTGTGAATGGTCTATATGATTATGGTCCAGTTGGTTGTGCAATAAAAATAAATATTATAAATCTATGGCGTCGACATTTTATTCTCGAAGAACAAATGCTTGAAATAGATTGTTCAATGTTAACGCCAGAAATTGTACTCAAGTAGATTATTTATTTTATATATAGAAAAAGATCAAAATTGCTTATCTTTTTTTTCTAGAGCATCAGGTCATGTTGATCGATTTACAGATCTGATGATAAAAGATACTGAAACAGGTGAATGTTTTCGAGCAGATCATTTAATTGAAGGTAAAAAAAATAATAGATTCTATTTTCATCAAATTATTATTATTATTATATTAAAAAAAAGGTTATTTCGAAAAATTACTTGAGACAAAAGATATAGATGATGAAAAGAAAACTGAAATTAAACAATTATTACCACAGGTAGATTTTAACTTTAGAAGAATTTTTTTTTTAATGATAATTGATTATTTCATATAGATTGGTAATATGAATGTAGAAGATATACAACAACTTATAGAAAAATATAATATAAAATCACCTAATACTAATAATAAACTATCAGAACCTATTGCTTTTAATTTAATGTTTTCAACTTCAATTGGTCCAATAAGTCAAACAAAAGAGTTTGTTAAATATAATATATGATAATACGCGTTTTACAAATATTTATATGATTTAGTTATCTTCGACCAGAAACTGCTCAAGGCATGTTTGTTAATTTTAAAAGACTATTAAATTTTAATCAAGGTCAATTACCATTTGCTGCTGCACAAATTGGTAATTCATTTCGAAATGAAATCTCACCAAGATCAGGTTTACTACGAGTTCGGTACGTTATGTTTTACTTCTCTTTTTATATGTACTAATTGCATATGTCTATTACTATTAGTGAATTTACAATGGCAGAAATTGAACATTTTATTGATCCAATTGATAAGACACATTCAAAATTTGATACTGTTGCTGATCTTGAAATTCAATTATATTCAGCTAGTAATCAAATCAATGGTGAAACAGCTCAATTAATTCGTTTATATGATGCTGTTCATTCAAAATTAATTAATAATGAAACTCTTGGTTATTTTATTGGTCGAATTTATCTATATTTAATAAGAATTGGTATTGATAAAAATCGAATTCGTTTTCGTCAACATATGGATAATGAAATGGCTCATTATGCATGTGATTGCTGGGATGCTGAGTGTAAGATAAGTAGTGGTTGGATAGAATGTGTTGGTTGTGCTGATCGATCTTGTTATGATTTAACACAACATACAAAATTTAGTGGTCAACGACTTGTTGCTGAACGACAATTATCTGTACCGAAACGAGTACAGATTACTGAGAGAAAAATAAATAGTACAATAATTGGTCAAATATTTCGTAAAGATACTTCAATAGTTGTAAAATATTTAGAAAATTTATCAGAAAATCAAGCTCATAGTTTACATGAAAAACTTGAGCAAGAAAATGAAAAATGTACTATTAATGAGAAGGAATTTATTATTACACGATCTATGTTTAAACTAGAAACAAAAGAAAAAATCGTTCAAGGTAATTCTATTTATCTTGTTTGTATAGATTATTTAAGAATTTTTCATTTTAGTCGAAGAATTTACTCCATCAGTAATTGAACCAACATTTGGTATTGGTCGTTTACTGTATGTTACATTAGAACATAATTTTAAAATTCGTCCAGAAGATAATCAACGAAAGGTAAAATTATACTTCTTATTAATAATACTTTTAATTGAATTATTTCAAGTATTTTACATTACCACCATTAATTGCACCATATAAATGTGCTGTTTTACCATTGAGTGTAAATGCAGAATTCAAACCATTTGTTAAACAAATCTGTATGTATATTATTTTTGTCATCGTTCTCCCGCTATGTATATTTTTTAAATGTATATTTAGCTGATCTTCTAACTCAAGCTAATATTTCACATAAGATTGATACAAGCAGTAGTAATATTGGTAAACGTTATGCACGTTGTGATGAACTTGGTATTCCATTTGCAATCGCTATTGATTTTGATACATTACAACAACCATATTCAATAGCATTACGTGAATTAGAATCATTAAAACAAGTTCGTGTTAAAGTAAATATTTTTTTTCTATATGAAATATTCATTTTGTTTATTAAAATTACTTTGTCGTTTTAGATTGATGAAATAGTATCTGTTCTTCAAGATCTTGCAACAGAAAAAGTAACTTGGAATGAAATATTTGCATTATATCCAATATTTACAGAACAGCAAACAAAAAGACTTGAAAATTAATCATAAAATAAAACGATTGTGGTTTTTTTCTCCTTCTGTAAGATAAAATAAAAAGAATAAATAATATAATAATGATTCAACTGATGCCAAAAGACCAGCTGATGCCTACGAAAAGAAATCTAACATAATAAACATATACGTGTATTGTTGATTTAAATGCAACAAAGATACAGTATTATCTTGTTTTATTTTAAGAAATCTGTTTTTATAATTAATGGATAATATATCAAATAATGAGGTAAGTTAATAAAAAATTATAATTAAAAAAAAGGGAGAATGTTAGACGAAATAGACCTTGAAATTAGATGTCTCAGCTTGTATCAAATATTTCATATTAGTTAGATTATAGAATTACTATCTTATTCGAAGCTATAATTAATTTTTTTATCAAATTTGTCTTATTAATCTAACATAATATTAAAAATAAGGCACATCGTTTTTGTATGCTTCTTATTTTTAATGATAGTTTAGTTGACCTTCGAATAATAGAGAGAGATTATATGCACTTTCTAGATGATCATGACTTTTGAGAAACCCTATAGTTCTATTTGCTATTTTGGGATAGATGCAATTTTCTTATTTTTATCAAAAATAAACTATAGAATATAAGAATAACACCCGGAAAAAAAATTTCAAGAAAGTCGATGTATAAGAATCGAGTTAATTATTCATGAGAGATAAAAACGAATCAATATTTATGAGATATATGTTTATATATTCAATATATATATTTTTTTCTTCATCTAATTACATGTTAGACGTCATTTTTTATTCCATTATCGTAGAAAACACGTCCGACTAGTGATGAAAATACTCGAAGAAGATCATCACAATTGAATAGTATTTATGAAGCATACAGATTAGCAACACAAAATATGTCATATCGATCTGATTATACAAGAGATCGCCGAAATGCTCTAACAGATACTTCATTAGCATCTGTCAGAGGTAATAGATTTTGTCAAACACAAAATTATCATCAATTAGCTGAACGAATTCGTGAACTTGAAAAAGAAATTGTACCTGATCTTCGTTTTACTCATGTATCATCAGCGTATTCACCATATTCAGCTCTAACACCATGTTCATATATTAGCAGTGGTTGTATGTCAAATTATTCTCGTCCACATAATTTAATTTCACCAAATTCATTTATACCACAACAACGATTTGATTTATCTTCAAGAGTTCTTGAACGAGCTCATCATATTCCTGAACGGTAAAAATAAAGAATGATTCGACTTATTAATATATTTTATTTTAGTTTTTGGACTGATTGGCAACAAAAACGAATGCAACATCGAATAGATGAACTTGAATCTATAAAAAGAAATTTAACAAATACAAATGAAAATAATTCAGCAACAATAAATCGTCGAAAAAGTTTATTATTACTTCATGACATGCAATCTCATATTAATTCATCTGACTCTATGGCTTTTACCACACCAATATCATCAAGTATTGATAATGAAACATCTTCATCAAGTTCTGATGATTATAATCTCTTTAATTTCAATCAACGATCAATAGATAGTAATACATCTGAGCCAATAACTCCTATTTCACCTCTTGGAAAATTTCAAGCAAAACTTGATCGTTCTAGTTTAACTATATTTTTACCATTTTCTAACACAAATTTACTACCAAAACAAACAATATCTACTCAAACGTATCATCA